TATATGCATAAAGCAAAAATTAAAGTACAGGAACATGAAGTGAGCTGTTTTAGGAGAAGTCTGAACGAATTAACAGCCATCCCCAGATTTACGTTTCATTAAAATGACGGGACCGTGTACGAGTAAAATGAGGTTAAAAGATTCCATTAATATCATTCAAAACTAAAACCGAAAGTATTTATTCAATATTGTTTTCGTGTATAATCATATCTCAACAAGATAAATCACGATAAAAGAGTGTTATGCCCTTGAAAGCAGTAATTTTACTTTTTCTTATTTTTAGAGCAGGGTGTACAAACATAGATTGTGTTACAATTGAAATGAGGGGAATTTCCCGATCAGCCTCAGCTGGAAATAAAATTACGGAATCCTCCTCTCTAAGGTAAAAAAAAAAAAAAAAAACTGGTGAGACTGTTTTGCAAGCGGTCTCAATCGGCAGTAAGCCATATTTTTCGAGTTTTGGAAAGCAGGGAAGGGGGGGCATCTCCTAGTAATGGCAAAAGGCTGCATGGAGCAAAACAAGTTGAGAACCACTGGTCTAATCCGATCAACAATTAGGAATAAGAAAACTGTGCCTCCGTAATCTTCTGACATGTCTTAAAGGAATTACCATTTTTTCCAACACCTGAGCCATTTCTATTTCATCCAAGAAATACTTCAGTTTATCGGACATTGAATGGCTTCATCACTTTCAAAGACTCTGATTTTACATACATAGTATAAATGATCAACGGTGCATTGATGCTGCAGAACGTTACTTTGATTAAAGAGTGTTCTTTTTTATTCTTATTTTTCTGTTGTCTTAAAAATAGACTATTCCATTTGCAGCAATCCAATATTTAAGGTAATGCAAGCGAGAGAATTTGATGTCTTTATTTATTGCTTTAAAAAAAAAGTGTTTTGCTTTAAGGAAGTTTTTATGCTACTTAAAGTATACGGTATGTTTCATTCCTGTAAAACAAATTAAAAACACAAATTTTCTGCTTAAGCACACGATCTATTTGTATTTTAGTTGAAAGACAGAGAGAAATTAATTTTTATTCATGTAAACCTTTCAAAGTCAATACATAATTTTGGTTTTTTTTTAATTGCAATATGTCACTAAAATTTAGAGGAAATTATTTTTTATTTACACCAAAAAACTCTAAAATGTTTCCAACCAAAATTAGAAGAATAAAGCATCATTTTTATTACACTTAATATTTACAATCATTAAGCAATGAATCGCGTAATGAAACAAAGAACAGTGCCCTGTGCAATGCGTATTTGCTTTTCTATTAATATGTATAGATAACATATTTGACAAATATTACATATTATACACATTATCTAAATTAACAGCTTCGTAGAACTATATAATTTACTGTATTATTTTTATGTTATTAGAGTCAGTGGTAATAGTAAAAACTCATTAATTAACCAACAAATATAATTAACGTCAGACTGTTTCCTGAACTTCTTGCCAGAATTAAAGAATAATGGCAGAAGTAAAACTGAAATGTTAAAGAAATTTAATAGCAAAACTGATAATTACAAGTGAGCTGATTTTTATCGCTAATTAATGTCTTTAATATTTGCTCTTCGGCACGTTCGTTTTGCTACAATTTAACTGATAGTTACTGAGAGATAATAAAATGCAGTTTGTGCAAAGGCATTATTTAATACAAATTACCATGTTTGTTAGCTGATTAATTTAAATGAATTTCAAAATTCATTGAATTACTTTCATTGAATTCAAATCAAATTTGTGGAAATTTAAAAATGAAAGGAACATGTTCTCTTTTGCATCATATCTTTAGAAAGGTGTATTGTCATGTATGACAGATATGCAAACCTCTTATCCTTATTATTATTATTATCTTATCCTTATTAAACTGCTGATCGAATCTTGTGAAATTGCACACCACTCTTATGAAAGCTCACTTTTCGAATCCTAGAGGATCCGAGGAGGCATTTTGTGTGCTGCAATTTTGCGGCCTGACGCATCTCATACAGGCTCTATTGGGTTCAATTCTGATGAGTAAGCAGGCCAATCCATTGGAAAGATATTTTCTGTTTCCAAACAACATTATCCAGAAAACTATGACCGGTTACTCCATTACAAGTTTTAATTCTGTGCGATCATTTTTCACCTCAATCCATGAAACTGCTCCGTGGAAATGGGATCTTTTATGAATAAGGGAAGGTAAGTTGTGCATTTCTCCCACCCTCTAGATCAAAACATATTTAGAATCACAGTTCAGGTTTAATACGGACCAAAGCTTAAACTGAGCCGGAACCCAGCTCCGGTACTTCTAAGTTTTTGGGACATATTCTAATTGTAGCTGGAGCGCACCAGAGCCTTAAATAAGAAGGCTCCGACACTTCTTTTATGCAACTTAACAATTATGTTACTAGAAATTTGATCTTGAAAATTTTTTTTAGCAATAAAATTATATTAAAAATTGTCTATTAAATTTTAATTTATCTCTTTACATTTTATTTAATTTTAATCATTTAATTATTTTAATAAATAATAAGAAAGTAATTATGAATTAATTAAATAATAATTATATAATAAATATTAATTATTAATATAAATTAAATAATAATTAATTTGATACTCACTAACTATTTAATTTTTAAATTATTAATGATTTTAATAGTCATTTTATTTATTTATTCACTCTTTTTCCGCTTTCCTGACGGTCTTCCATAGGGCTCCGGCACTTTTCTTTTAGAAATAAAGACCTGATTCGGACTCGTCAATAAACAGCGATTGATCCCATTTCCGTGAATATAACGGAAACACTAGTTTAAAAGGACCTCTCTGAAAGAAAAAGTGAGTGGGAAACAAACCAATGACTTTCTTGCGGGAAGTCCAATTTCGTGAAGCCTTCGTGCGGCAGTGCAAGAGCTGATTCGAATTCCTGTGACACCTTCAAGGTTTTAAATCAACTCTCTTTTAGTCGCTTCACTGTTTCTTGGAGCTGACAATGACAGAAAATGTTTTCTGATTGCAGTTGTTGCTCTAGCCATCCTTGACCAGGCTGTCTACTATGCGATACTGCTTAAAATGTGGTTCCAGGGTCTTGATATGACACTTTGAGGTATATTCAGATCTAATTCGACTCCATGTGTGTCTGCCTCATTTGCCCTTTACTTAAATAATGCTTTTGAATCATAATTGATGAATACTGATCAATCTCAGAAACCACATTAATTTTAAACTACATTGCACACTCGAATTCCAACATGCGCCCATTGCGCAACAATCATTTCATTTCCAAATTTCATGTGCTAACCAATGCACAAAAGTCCAGTTTTGCATTCAGTTAAAGTTAATCAATATAATAATAGTACAGTTACACATTGGTTGAAAATTTCAATCGGTGAGCAGATACTTTCAGGTTATCCTTTAATTTTGACTAGCAATGTACTTGGCTTTGAAAGACACTAGAGTTCCATTACGCTTAAAAAACATATAAAGTAAAGAAAATTACTCGAAAGATTGTTCTGTATTTTTTCTTATGTACCTGCTTTTTTGGCTATATGATTTTGTTTCATCTTCATCTTATAATTTTGAAAAAGATCAACTTTTATAGATGAAAAAACGTTTTAATGTAGTAGAGACCAAAGTTTCCTATAATAAATTGCATGTACGATCCTAATATTACTCTGCAGTTGCTCAAATGCTTCTACTTATCTTGCATGCAGTTATCTGCAAGACCGGCACTTTTTATTTTTCAGGAATAAATGAGATACTTTTCCCTACCTTCACTTTTGAGGGGCCTGTGAATTCTCTTACAGTGTTTAAAAAATGCAATTTTTTTTTTAATTCAAGGTTTTGAAAATATGAAATTAGAACCCATTAGAAGGAACGATTTTTTTTTCTATGTTTGAAAGAAACTTAATTTTTTAATTCTACACTGTATTCATGTACTTGATTATTGAACTGAAGAACATTTCAACTACATTAAATTGATCGTATTTTTATAACTTAACGTTTATAGTAAAATCAATAATAATTCTTTAGGTTATTTCTTTTGTGTTCCTGTCAGAAAATGCAAAGTTCTCGTTTAAAGTATTCAAGTTTATATTTTATTCAACGCATTCTAATTTGAAACCATGAAAAAGTACAAAAGAGCGTAATTTACCTATTTCTGAACGAAATGTACAAAGGTTGAAATTTATTTTTATGTTTAAATGAAATATAGTATTAACTTGAAAAATAGTATTAACTTGCTAAGTTCTTTCTCGAAATACGTTATGTAATGTATTTTGTATGAAATGGAATTTGCATCGGTGGTATCTATTAGGTTGAAAAAAATTAGATGGTTCTCCGTAATAGTAGTAGGTTTTGTTCCAGTCTCAGGTTTTGTTAATTGGACCCTACGTAGAACACCCTACCAAACGAAACATTCACGATAATCGAAGTAATACCTATACCGAAATAATATCTTTTTTGGAAGGGGACGCGGGAATTTTAAAGTTGTTATTTTAATTGGATTGGGGGGGAAGATACGATCCACTAAATGAAACGATGTAATTACGCATGCAGTTTTTTCACAGTGTAATTAAAAAAATTACTGGAAACAGTGTTAATGACTCTTAAAGTCACTGAAGTTTGGTTAAAGTGCGCAAGCAGAGATGTCATATCATAGTTTAAAACCTTGGCATAACAACTGGAAGAAATTGTAATACTGAGAGACCGGGAGGCGCATACGTTAAAATAAGTAGATAAAAGTGATATAAGGGGAAGAGACAGATCATCAATGATTTTCAATGAATGTATGCAAATATTAGTAATATATTATTAATATAGTGTAAACAATGAGTTTTAAAAAGTTTATTTTACGTTTTACTTAAAATTTCCCTTTCTCTTGAAGTTAAGGATTTTTTAACTTGTACTTTTTCTCAGGTTAGCCGAACAGCTGCTAACTACGCGTTTAATATTTTGTGTATTATGAAGCTTGAACGTAGGATATTTGGTTAATGTCTAATTTATTTTTGATTTATAGATTCTAAGCAGAAGCCCATGGCTCCACCTGATGTGACATTCATTTTCGCCGAAGATGTTGTTGAATGGGATGCTTACTTGACTCGTCAATTCGAAGGGAGTGGCACGATAATCCAGCACGAACAGGTGGAAAAAATGACTTTTCCTTTGCCCTGCTTAAAAGCGCCAGTGTTTAGTGATGCTCGTGTTGTCCTAGTCATCCTTTCTCCAGCCTTTTTACATTTCCTCGATAATCATGCGACGGAGAGTTTCCAGTTTACAAAGTTGCTGAAACCAAGTAAAACCATAGCTATGTTGTGCGGCGTTTCGTCCTCTAGCATTGCCGACGTGAAAGTAAGCAAAATTTCAATAGAATATAAATTTCTTGCCTCTTGGAAGAATATCTTTCTTGACATGCACGGTGCATTTATAAGGTATTAGGACCCAGTTCAATAAAATATCGGGACATACGCACCGATTATTCATTGTTAGTCTTTTACAAACATTCCTTCTGGTACTATATCAGGGTGTCCAGCAAAGGAATCCCTGATAGCTGCAACATACCTCCTGTATAGCTGCAATGGATTAGCGATGATTCTTTGCCCTCATGATTGCTTAAAGAGGCTTTATTACGGAGATGGAATGATGGACTGACATAGAGACGTGGCAGAATTCAATATAGTTTTATGTCATAATAAAGTATGCTCAATGAGCATAAATAGGCTCACATATCGTCGTTATAGGTATGATATGCACCCATACTTTTATACAGCTTACATCGCTTTAGACCAGGGGTTCTCATGGTGGTAAGCAAAGAAGCAAAGTATTTTTAACCATTAATTTCAAAAATTAAAACCCCAACTTCCTAATTGAGTTTTTTCTCTAATACTCATAAATTTATGCGATCGGAGCTTTGTTTAAGAATGGTGGTGGTATTAGTACTTTGTAGTGGTGGTACTAAAAGTTTTCAATTTTTGTTTAGATGGTACGCTTTAGTCAAACGGTTAAGAACCGCTGCTTTAGACAAAGAACAAGGCAGGGCAGCAAAGCGAAGCAGGAAAAAAGGGTACGCATCCCCAAGCAAAGCGCGAGATAATGTAGTAAAACGTTGCTTTAATCTGATTGGATGAGAGCCGTCCGCATTGCAGCATGATTACGTAAGAAAGCATGAAACGGATTAATTTGGAAAGATGCAGTCCAGAAAGTTATTATAAACAATATTATAAATAATTTCTAATTTTACAACAGAAAGGAGAGATAGCCAAATTAAAATGAGGAATGAAAAAAAAAAAATAAAGTTAAATTGCTAAATTAAAGTTAACAGTTTTCTTTTATATTTTATATATCATTGGGTTAGAACGAAAACAAAGCCGCAAAAAATTAGCGAAGCATTGATTAGATTTTAAAAAATATTAAAATTTTCATTTTATTTTGTACATTTGTACATTTATTTTATTTTGTATTATTTATTTGTATTACTGTCAAAGATAAAAATTTTCGTTGGTACCTAAAAGTTTTAATTTTGAATCATTAGCAAGTAAATAAATAAATAAAGTGCCCTTAAAAGTAGATGTGTTTGGTTGCCTGGTATATGATGTAACATGTTATAGTGAATATGTACCAGATTTTTCAGTTTGGAATCTTTTTAGTTGGTAATTATGAAAATAGTGTTTTTCCTCCCAATCCCCATGTTACGATTGGGTATATGATACGTTAATATGTCAAGTATATGTTTTTTAGTCCATAGGGGCAAATTGCCCAGAAGGACTATTAATTTCGTTTTGGCATTTTGCGTCGATTCACGATAAGCGTTTTTTCACTTTTCAAATTGTTGCCATTAAATATTAGAGTCCTGTACTATATTTAAAGAAATTAAATAATAAAGAATCTGCATAAATATATGTGCGTTTCCCGCATTGGGATAAAACAATGGTACCTAGAGCCATCAAAATTTGGATAACGTAATCTTCCGTAGAATGTGGGCATCTGGAAGCCCTAATTTGAATTTGAAATTGGTTGGTTTCATTATCGATTTCATGTTTCGTAACACTTCAACGAATTTTTGATTAACAAACTAAACGATTTCAAAGCGAGCAATGGCAATACTGTACGAAAGAAAAAAAAAAAAAAAAAAGACAATCTGAAATGTTTCAGATTTTAAATTACGTCCAATAGCGCGTCTTTTTAACATTTTGTCTGTTACCTTTATTTATTAAATATCACGTTCTTCGCACTAATTCGCACTAAAAAATTCAGTTCAAGAGCTATATCGCAAAATAGTTTTAAATTGAACATATCTTTAGAATTTCCGATATGCGCTGGAGATTAAAAAAAAAAAAAAAAAAAAAAATCTTTTGTACAACGTTACCATTGCTCACTTTCAAATCCTTGAGTTTGTTTATCAAAAATTCGTTAAAGTTTTACAAAATATGAAATCTATCATAAAACAAATTCCAAATTTCAAATTTGGGCTTCCACATGCCCATATTGGCAGTAGGATTATGTCATTCAAAATTCGATGGCTCTATGTACCATTGTTTAATCACAATGCGAGAAATATACATACATTTATGCAGATTTTTCATTATTTATTTCTTCAAATATAATGCAGGACTCTAACATTTGGTGGCAACAGTTTGAAAAGTGAAACGGACATTTATAGTGAACCAATGTAAAATCGCAAAACAAAAACAATAGTCTTTCAGGGACAAAGCCCATTTTGGACTAAAAATGTGAAAATTATAACATTAAAAAAAAACTTGCACTCTGAATTTAGTATGCAGACTTTCAGTTCAAAGCATGAAGCAATTTTAAGCAGAAAAATCACAACTGACCTTCCAGTTTAAGAATTATTATCCAAAAATTAAAGATATAGAAAGCAAAAATCTTATATTTGATATGAACTGTTCCAAAGCGCAAAGCCATATGCTGCTGTGCTATAATTGTATCATAAATTAACGCTACACAGACATTTTCTCACTTATCTAATTAAAAAAAAAATCTGATGTGTACACCACATGACTTCCTTGTATTGGAATATTAAATTATACGCATTTTTTCTTGCATTTCATTTAAACTTATTGGATTGAATTAAATCTACTTCGCCGACAGCGCATAAACCACAATAGAATAAATGCATTCTTTAAAATTCACTCTAGTATTTGGTTTACCATAGTGACACTCTGGCGCTAGATTCACATAACGGTATTAATAATTATATAACAGTTAACTTATATAATATTATATAACGGAATTAAGTTAACTGTTATATAATCCAATAATTAATAACATTAACTTATATTTCGTTCATATTATAACTCATAATGCACAAATTTATATCATTTAACAGTTTTTCACAGACGATTGAGTATTTTTAATTTAATTAATTCAGTTCTCACTTCGGAGAAGGCAAAAATACATAAAAACTCAAAATATCTATTAAAAATTACAAAGTAAATCTCAAACACTTATTTCCTGGAAAAAATTCCAGAAAGAATTAAGCGTGATATTATTGGCAATAATAAATGAATGCGTTATCTTTGTTGTTGGGAAGCTAAGTTTCTCAAGATTGGCAACAAATCCACTAGTCTCCTGTTTCAAATGTAAACATCAATGGCCGCCATTAAAAAAGGCCTTAGCGGCAATTAAACAACTTTAAAATTGCTGATAATTCTAAAAATATTGCACACATATTTACTAAAGGCATAAAATCCTTAACCGGAAGATAAAACAACATAATTCAATCATTTTTAAAGCAAAAAATGTACAATTTACAAACATATAACAGTAAAGAAACTGAGATCACTGAGCCGGGTAACAGAGTGGATATATATATAAATATATTTATATACGTTTGGTGCGGCCGATTGCAACCAAAATACGAGGTGCACATCTACATGTTACAGCAGTCCTATATACAAAATTTCAACGTTCTGAGGCTACTCGTTTTTGAGTTATGCGAGATACGTACGTACGCACATATGTTCGTACAGACGCCACGACAAATTCTCTTCAGAATTAATTTTAAAGCAGTTTTATAATTTTTTTGAAGGAAAAGAGTATTTTATTCTGTCCTTACGTACAGATATCACGCAAAAACATCGTTAAATTGCATTCGATAGCCGTAAAAATGGATATTTTCGTTGAAATATGCTGCCTGAAACTTTTCGCGATTACAATACTTCCTTTTTACTTTGTACAAGGAAGTAAAAAAGAGTTATTTATGAAATAGCTATACATTTGTTTTACTGGATGACTTGTGTTAGAGGGTTGCAACAATCCATGTAAAGGTAATAATTTCGATTTTGGCCGGCATCAAATTCCCAGACTGAAAAAATAAGTAAATAAATGATTAAAAAACTGATAACTTTCAGATTTTACATTACGCTCGAAGGCGTGTTTATTTAACACTTTCTATGAATTACCTTTATTTATTGCTCAAAGCTTTGAGCAATCGTTGAACGTTTGTTACATCAAAAAACATTTTTATCTCCAACGCGCGAGACTCTGTACCGGAAATTCTAAAGATATGCTTATTTAAAAATTATTTTGCGATATTGCTGTTGAACTGAATTTTATGGTTTGAGTACGTAGAACATGATATTTTTTAATAAATAAAGGTAGCATGCAAAACGTTAAAAAGAACGACCGTTTGGGCGTAATTTAAAATCTGAAACCTTTCAATTTTTTTTTTTTTTTTTTTAAACCCTATGGATGGCGTGGCCAGAAGTCGGTGGTCATTTTATTATGAAAGCACCTAACAGATGGGCCTTCTTTGCCTATGATGTAAACCATGCTTTCTCTCTCATTGGAACCTGAGACCTTTGGGATCCAATTATGCATGTAACTGATACCGTATTTTATGAAGCTCAGTGTAGAAGAACCTGAAGATGTATAATTTTACTGTTTGTACTCAGGATGCATTATCTTTTCTATGTACTTTTCAGTAGCGTTTTTAATAGCGTATAGAAAGTAAATGCTTTAACATATAGCGGAAGCAGCTAGTTCTAATAATGCAAATACATGATCTGAAAAATTGAGATCTAAAATGCATGATTTTTGTGCATAACTAAACTTATAATAACATAACTTGTTTATTAAGTAGTTAATAGCATAACTTGTTTTATTAAGTAGTGGGATTATAATATATGAAAACTGAATAACAGTTTTATATACATTATTACGTATTTATATACATTATTACGTATTTGTAAAAATGTATATAAGCTATAATTTACATATCTGTATAATGTGTAACCAGTGTTCATAAACTGTAAATCTAAAAACTTCAATACTTATATTGTTACGTTTTTTAAACTTTAGAATGTGCTTGTGTCTTATAATGACTGGCGCCATCTAGAGGCAAAAGATAAAGATATTAATATGGTCCGTGATGTTATTGAATTAATTCAAGAGATACTTCTCAAATCCAAGGAAAATGAAAGGATTAATAAACCAAAATTCAAACTTGTCCCCAGGAAGGTGCAAGAAGTGAGTAAACAGTGTTCATGTGTCTTTTCTTTTATGATATGTATGAATATAATTAAGAGAAAGTAGTTAGAAAAAACTGTAACTGTATACCATTCCAAAATTTGCAACTTCATGTCAATTGTGATATGTTCATAATTTATTTTGCAACCTCTTCTTCTTCTTCTTCTTCTTTTTTTTTTTTTTTTTTTTTTTTTTTTTAAGAAATCTCCCATTTTGGTTTTGTGAATTTCTAACTTTATTAGTGTCACTGAATAATGTTCATGGAAAACCACTGTAAGTTGTATAAATATATATGGTTAATGTATGCAGTTTGGTTACTGAGAATTTTTGTTTTACTACATACTTTGTTTTTAATTATTTATTGACTTATTTAGTACAAGTCAAACATCCAGACATCCCATATTCAGACCTCCGGCCACCAGCAAAATATATGTTATTATTATTATTATTGCAAAATCTAGGAATGGAGAATGTAATATTCAAGGAAAAGCAGCTATATCCTAAGAAATGTTTTTTTTTTACCAAAAAATTTAGATTCCTACATGTTATTTGCTGGCTAACGAATCCTATCATAGCCAATGGTAGTACTCTGATTGACATTAGTTGCAACCACTTTTGTTTTGGGTTGGGTCTTGAAGGGCTGTGCAAGTGTGTGGGGGATTAATAATTTTCTGTCTGACATAGAATATGTGAAGCCCAAGACACAGTATATGCTTACATAGTCTCACCTTTGTTTACTTTTCACCTTCTGATTTATGGTAACAAAGTAAAATGTATGCACAAATAGGAAAGTACTTTGTGTTAAGTAAAAAGAATATTATTGAAATTTTTAAGTCCTTTGAAATACATAGTATAATAATATTATTGTGTCTTTATGTGTGCTTTTAAATGTTCTATGTTTATCATTTAAGACATCTCTTCAGAAATAATATGCAATCTGTTTGGATGTTAAAATTTAAATTATTCGTTGGTTAAATAAATGACTTAGTCCAGGCTGAACAAACAAATTTATTGAGAATATTTGGTTACATGGAAACGAGCAACTACAGTAATGCACACCAGTTAAGGACAACACTACTGTTGTTGCCAACTAACATTAAGTAAATATTGTGATTAGCACACGTATCTTATTTTTTTTACCACACCCCCTTGCCAATCACACTATGTGCAAGATATTTACATACTTCCATAAAAAATTAATCACACTGTGGTTGTACACATTTACAGAAAAACAATGAAGCTGCTATTAAATGCTTAAACACTATTGACCTCTACTTATGAATTGTATCATTAAATGAACACATATTAAGTTATACTAGGAAACACAATGTTTACATAGAAATAATTAAGAAAAATTAGTATCTAGGCTTCTTTCTGGAGTTTTTAAGTCCAGTATCTACACCTTTACAACCATAGTGGTTTATGTTCAGTCACAAACTTTGAAGGAGATAATTTTTCCATACAAGGCCTGGCGTTGCGGCGCGCAATGAACTGGAAGTTGATTTGTCAGCACTATCGTTATCTTCAGGACAGATGTTTTTATTTTATTCGGCTTATAATTCCTTACTAAATGTAGTATTTCATCTCGATGTACTCCGTCTTTGATATGATTTAAATCAAATTCCTCGTCATTATAAATATCACGAATATAAATCAAATAGTTTTCTGGTTGCAATTTTCTAATTTCGGCTATGCGTAATGTATGCTTTACGCATGGGCGCGTTGAAAGAAATGTTTAATAAAGTAAACAAATAAATATTAAGCTTCTTTTTTTGTAAATTTTGATACCCTTTAATCCTCATAATTGCTCATTATTTTATAAATTACGGTTTCATATTTTTAATTTTATAATTTCTGCATGCTATCTTACCAGATTTAAACTGATGATCTATAATCCGGAAAAATCGATAACCCGGAATCGCTGAAGTCCCGACGAGTCCGGATTAAAGACTTTTGACTGTACAAAGTCTGAAATCCAAACTTGCAATATCTGGAATGAACTAATTTTCAGACCTCTGTATCACCAATAAGCAATTTTTTAGAAATTTTTATATACTTTACACTTCCACATTTGAGGTTTTTTCATAATAAAACATGCGAAGAGGCTAGGTTCTTAATTCATTTCGTCACTGATTCCAAACTGGTGAAGCATAATTTATTGTTTTTTTTTCTTTCATCACCGCATGTCCGTCAACACACTGCAGTTTGAGAAATGACTCACACACTGATGTTTTAAGCAATATTTTTTAATATTAGTAATTGCACAAATTACAGTTAAAAAATACAATTAAAATTAGAATTTCTATGCAAAAACAAGCAATTTGGCCAGAGAGCAAGAAGGCAAATTTTTCAGTGCACAAAACTGAAAGTTTATCTTTGGTCCCACTCAGCAAAAAGACCCTGAAGGGGCAGAAACTGGCTTCAGTCACTATTCTTCTAAAGATTTTCAAATGTAAACAAATGGCAGCTACGTTAGACTTAGTAGCACTTAGACAACTTTTAAATTGTTAAAAGTAGTCTAAGTGCTACAACTATTGCATGCAGATTAACTAAAGGCATAAAACCTTGATTGGAACATAAGAACAACATAATTCATTTGTTGTGTCTAGCGGTGTGGGTTCAGTGACGTGCATGACGCAACCAAAACGGACTAGTTCACGGTACAAACATTTATTTCTAACTAACTCATAAAACAGCAGCGATATGCTATTTACGCAGTTACATTACATTCTACCCTACTCTCGCTCACAGAGGTTCTTGGGTATAAGAGTACTGATACTCTCGAAATCAGATGCTACATCCCTCCCCACTTATTTAGAGATTTAATCTCTATGGAGCTTTGTGGATGCACGAAGATCGTCTAAGTCCTGGCTGAGGTTGCTGCAACTCTTTATCAAGATCCACTGGAAGGACTGGATCAGTTTTCCTTGGGAACTGACATGTTTCAAGTCCGGCTAAAGTGTGCACAGCTTCACTTCTTGTTCAATGACCTGTCCGGAGCCTGTGGCTTCACGTTTCCATCTGAAGTAGCAGCCATATGAGGTTCATAGATTACTAGTGCAGATGGAACCTCGCTCCCTACCGATCTGATCTGATCGAGGTGCCGGCGCAGTAAAGTTCCTTGAACGTCAATAGTATAATGCAGCACTCCATCCTTGTTTGTCACTCTGCCAATTTTCTATCGGGAATTTGCCGATCTGTAATCCCGAATGGCAACCCTTTCTCCGATTTCAAAATTTCTGCTTTGAAATCATAAGTATTTCTCGGATGCGTTCTTCCACTCTTCGTTTAAGATTTGGAACAACTAAATCAATTCAAGTTCTAATTTCTCCTTGCTCTTTGCATTTTTTAAAAAACATTTCCAATGCTTTTAAATGAAACTGATCATCCGGTCCTGTCACTCGAGCATCATCCATAAAAATTTTAGTTCCTTCAATCCCCTGAAATAATCCCTCAACATAGCGCTGCCAAATAGCTGGGGCAGCATTTAATTCATATATTAAGTGTTTACAAATATACAACCCCTTATGCGTGTTTATTGTTAATAATCGTTCGCTTCTCCGGATGCACCTTCATTTGTAGAATAAGCATGACTGAAATCAAGTTTCGAAAAATATTTTACCTCCATTAAGGCATGAAAATATTTCTTCGAGTTTTGGTAATGGATGCTGTGGCACTTCCAAATTAGGATTCAGAGTCACAGAATAATCAGCACAAAGTAAGGAACACATTTTAACAATTGAAACGGTGTTTGCCCATTCTGAAGTCAACCCTCTCATGATACCTTCTTTCTCACTGAAATTCCCTTCCAAGCCTGGCGATTGCCTTCATGGAAATGTCCCTTGTGTATAAATTTTAACTCAGATTTTTTCGGAACAATTGACCACTCAGATACACAAAGGTGTACTGGTGTCACAGAATGCCAAAGCATGGAACCATCAGATTTAACTGAAGTGTTGCCCATGAACTCAACCTCTCAATGATACCTTCTTTCTCAAGCCGATCAATTCCCTCCAAAGACGTAGCTGCGATGCCTTCTTTTAAACGTTCCTAAATGTCTTGTGTAACTCTTCGAGATTAACTCAGAGTTTTTCGGAGCAACACCCTCGACACTCATTATACAGTATCTTTAAGGTGGACTCGGCCCAGGATTCAGAGTCACAGAATAATCAGCACAAAGCCTAATGGAACCATCAGATTTAACAATTGGCACAACTGGTGCTTGCCCATTCTGAAGTCCTCAACCCTCTCAATGATACCTTCTTTCTCAAGCCGATCAATTTCTGATTACAATCTATTTTTTAATGCGAAATGTACCGGTCGTGACCTACAAAATTGTGGTTGGGTATTAGGTTTCAAATTTAGTTTTACTTCGTGATTGTTAATTTCACCTAATTTACCATCAAAAATTCCCTTATACTCCTCAAGCAATTTTTTTTAAATTCAATTCACTAGAAGTTTTCAATGTTTTGATGGCATTCCAATCGAGATTGATCTTATGCAGCCATTCTCGGCCGAAGATTGTGTCCAAATTTTCCTTCACAATGTATAAAATTTAAAACTAATTTTTGACCTTGGTATTCAACTTTAACAGGAACATATCCTAAAGGTACCACCTTATCACCCTGTAAGTTTTAAAAACTAAATTTGTAGGCTGAATCTTTTTATTGGAAATTTTTGTTCTAAATTTATTTATAGACATTACCGAAACTGTTCCCCCAGTATCAAGTTCCATGCTAACTGGTTTGTTTTCAATTTTAACTTGAACCATTATTGGCGGTCTTTTCGGCTCTTCCTCTCTTAACATGTGCGTTCTGGAGTTAAATCCATAGATGGGACCTCATTTTTCGAATCATAATCATTATTTGCCTCAACTTTCTTTTGTTTAACCTGGCGGTTTTTCCTAGACAAATAACACGCCTTTTCGATATGTCCAATTTTTTTTACAAAAGCGGCATTCACTTGTTGCAAATCTACAGTTGTTTTTATTGTGACTTGCTCCTAAGCAACGCAAACAAGTTTCATTTTTACCCTTATTATTCTTAGCAACAAAGTTTTGTTTCCGCGGTTTGGACTCATTTTTCTTGGTTTTAAGTACCTTCAGTTCTACGGAATTTCCTATAATCTCATTTGCACCCTTAACCGCCTTTTCCATCGCCAAGGCTATCTTTAATGTTTTCTCTAAATCGATATCATCTTCCTGAAATAATCGATCTAAGATATTACGATCTCGTAGACCGCTAACGAAAACATCCCTTAACATGGTATTTAGCATATCCTCTTTATATTCACAAGGAATCGCTAACGAGCGTAATTCAGTGACATAACTACTAATTGATTCCCCCTCATGCTGTTTTCTTATTAATAAACATGTGTCCGACTAGGTATTATTAAAGCTTTAGGATTTAAATGATCCTTAAGAACCTTTTTTAGTTCGGTAAAATTTTTATCTGAAGGATTATCCGGAGAGAGTAAATTTTTCCAACAAATTATACAATTTCGCATTCAAGCTTGAGATCAGAACTTTCCCACGTTTTGCCTCTGGAACATTTTGAATGTCCAAAAAAGCCTCAAATCGTTCTATGAACGAATCAAAATTTTCTACCGTTTCATCGAACTTATCAAAAGAAACAGAAATTTTGTCTTGTTTATGTTCCGATTTCTCTTGCAATGCGACCATTAAAGCTTCATTCTGCTTTATCAATTCTTCAATTAACTTCTCCATCCTTTCAAAATAAAAATCAAATACTTTCCTACCTTTTGCAGTTTTTGGGGAATCCCCTAAATCCAAGTTTCGGTTTTGCTACTACTTTACGCATGTAACCAAGTACGCTGAGTCGGGAACGATTTTCTTCTCACACAGCCTCATCGCCAACTTGTTGTGTCTAGCGGTGTGGGTTCAGTGACGTGCATTACGCAACCAAAATGGACTAGTTCACAGCACAAACATTTATTTCTAACTAATTCATAAGACAGCAGCGATGCGCTATTTATGCAGTTACATTACATTCTACTCTACTCTCGCTCACAAAGTTCTCGGGTATAAGAGTACTGATACTCTCAAAATCAGATGCCACATCAATCACTTTTAAAGCTAAAAAAAAAAAAAAATGCTCAATTTACCAACATACAAGAATAGAAAATCTAAGCTCACAGAGCTGGGTAGTAGAGTGGGTATATATGTATATATATGTATATTTATTCACTTTTAGCACGACTGATTGCAACCAAAAAGAGAGGTATTGAGCTACATGTTATAGCAGTCCCATATACAAAATTTCAGCCTTCTGGGGACTACTCATTTTTGAGTTATGCGAGGTACGAATGTCGGGGGAAAAATCTGTTCTAAATCCATTTTGCAATTAGTTTTAGGAAAAAGAGTCCTTTATTACTTACGTACAGGTGTCATGCAAAAACATTTCTCAAATGGATTCAGTAATGGTCAAAATTGATATTTTCGTAGAAATATGATACCCAAAATTTTTTGTGATTACAGTACTTTTCTTTACTTTGTACAAAGAAGAAAAAAAAATGCCCAGTGTCATTTTATTTTTATTTCATTATTAATAATAACTACATGTGAGTGTGGGATTTAAAATTTGTCTTAAATTAATTATTATTTGCGTGTTTATGTATCTGTGTAAATTTTGATTTAATTGTGTATTTCTTTTATTCTTAGGGTAACGGTAAAGTTTATGTTATGTTAGCCCGTCCTCTGGATGAAAATACTTATGTACGAATAACTTTGGAATCTAACGGTGCTCGGGAAGTTCCAGTGAAGAAAAGAAATCCATATACCCTTGTGTTTGTTATTCCAGGTACTTGCCAATTTTAAGTTCCTTGTGTTTGTTATTCAAGGTACTTGCCAATTTTAAATTATAAGTGTTATTTTTTTTTTAAACTGATGTTTTGATTTTAGTTTCTCAGAGTTATTTTCATTATATGAATTCTAATAATATTACAGTAAAATGTTACAGCAAAAAGTCATAGTAAAATGCGTGAAAAAACATGGAGTTTAGGAGAAGGTACGAGCATTACAGTGTCTAGAGAGCAGTACCTGCCTTAGTTAGGGGAGTTTGAACTTATTGCACTGCCTTAGCACAATCTGAGGTTGGATATGCAGCAAATTCTTACCGTTTCGCTTGTGCAATACTTATGATCTGAACTAGTGGAGTTTTAAGGACAGAGGAAAAATAAAATTCCCTCAGATACGCCGTTTCGGCAGATAAACCACAGACCTAAATTTTCAACTTTTAAGCATGTATGAGCTGTGGCTTATCTATCCAAAATTATGGTACCTATTTGTAATTTTATTTGCAAGTTTTTTTGCTACTTACGAAAAATCCTGCTGACCACAAGAGATGGTGCAATTCGCGCCAGCGAAACCCAGTGTGTTTGCGGAAGACTTTTCTCTTTTTGGTGAAAAATCACGTAGTTTGGCATCTCTTCTTTAATAGGCAAAAATCGTCGACCAGTACGGTATTTACGGTCGATTTTCCGTAAGTACCATTTTTTCATTTAAAGTATCGGCATGTATCTTTTGAGAGAAAGTTGTTTGGCATATGTGGCTCTAACATGGAAAAGATTCATATTATATAAAGTATTTATCCTCACTGTATGTTAAAGTTATATTTGTGAATACGATTGTAAAAATTATTTAATAGATATTTGAGCAGAAGCATTTTATTGTTTTTATTGCACTGATCAAACCATGTATGAAATTATGTTTAAAGATGTAGCTTGTTATGTTTTAAGATGTAGCTTGTTATGTTTATTAAAGCACATGCAAAATATATCTTTATAGAATTACATGTACAATTTTGATATTGGATTTTACAGATGATTTTATGCAAGCACAAACCATGGTAAATGTCCATGTTTGGCTTGGAGAAGATTTATTGGGTGTCAGTCCTGTGAAATGTGTGTCAAAAATGGTTGAATTGTACAGCCTGCTTATGTCTGTGGTGTCTCCATATGAATTTTTGTGCAGTACATTAGGAGTGGCTACTTTGCACGATGCTGATACTTTGTTAGCCAAATTGTTTAAGAAAAACTTGCCAAAAGCAGGTTTTGAACTATTAGAGCATGATGTTAAACATGACAGAATAAAAGGTGAGTTCTTTTTTATAATTTCTATATTTTGTGCATTGAATAAAAATATAAAAGTTTATTATTAAATTTATAATACATATAATTTTTTAGTGGTTATTCTAAAATTTTAGAATTAAAATTAAGAAAATTATTATTGCATTCAAGTATGCATCTTATGTCTTCAAAATAAATAAGATCATAAAAAACTGTTATCTTGACATTTTTAAAATAAAAAAAAATGATTTGCAGTATTTAAAAAGACTACTAGATTAAATATCTGTTGAATGATTGATTTTGCATCCACAATGTCTGTTTAATAAAGGATTCAAATAAGATGGGCTTTCAAACTGTGATAATTTTGGTCGGGGGATGGCTTTTAGTAAAAATGCACAAAGCAGTTAAGTTTTATATGAACCTTCCAGATAAAAAAGTATGTCTTAGGATGGAAATATAGCTAAATTAATCCAATAAAATATTTTTTACCCTTATTAAATCAACTTAATTGAGATATTATTAAACAAAAATTTTGGGAACCATATTAAAATAGTTGTAGGGGCTGTGTAATAAGTTTTCTAATCCAAATTTCTGAAAGATAACTTTTAGAAAATATCAGCTCAGTAGCCATTTAAAATTACTATAGTATAAAGTCTTTAATCGGGACGTCCATAATCCGGACCTCAAAGCTACAAACTTTCTGCGCATGCGTAAACGCATAATGCATTTACACATGCGTATAAATATGTTTACGTATGCACGTATGCGTTTACGCATGCGCGTTTCGGATGGTATAAGCTAGGCTAAAATTATCTAATTATCTATTTCAGTTAATGTTGCAGATTGCATTTTTCCTTAATCTTTTAATTGAACCTGGTTTTTATTTTTTGCAGACTGTTAGAGCAATTTTATAAAATGTAAGCTTGAACTTTCGATTATGTGGTGATTTATAACTAATTCTTGTGCTGCCAAGAGATCTATAAAGCGAAAGCATGTTTCAATGTCCATTAAACAAAAAGTGGAATTGCTTCAAAAAATGGACAAAGGCAGGAAGAAAGTGACAGAGAGGTGATTTGTTTCTCTAACCATTCCGAAATCTGTTTATTAATTTTAAGTTGCTCTGCGGGGGGGGGGGGCATCGCAGCGCACAATGAACTGGAAGTTCATCTGTCAGCACTATCCTCATCTTCAGGGCAGATGTTTTTATTTTATTCAGCTTATAATTCCTTACTAAATGTAGTGTTTCATCTCGATGTACTCTGATATGATTTAAATTAATTTTCTTGTCATTATAAATATCACAAATAAACATTAAATAGTTTTCTGGTTGTAATTTTCTAATTTCGACTAAGTGTAATGTATGCTTTACGCATGCGCGTGTTGAAAGAAATGTTTAATAAAGTAAACAAATAAATATTAAGCTTTTTTATTTGTAAATTTTGATACCCTTTAGATCATAAATGCTCTTTATTCCATAAATTATGGTTTCATTTTTTAATTGTATAATTTCTGCATGCCATCTTACCAGATTTAAATTGATGATCTATAATCGAGAAAATCTCCTAATCCGGAATCATCGAAGTCCCAACGAGTCCAGATTAAAGATTTTGTACTGTATAGATATTTATAGAAAGGCTAATAAAAATTTTAAAAATTATGTAATTAAATCCCTGTATTTTTATTACATGTGATTGTTATTAAATGTGATTTGAGTTATAAAATTACTGACAATATTTTTTGGAGGAATTCATTAATTAGAAAATTTCTTTGTGGTGAAGCCTATAAGCCATATAGAAAAATTTACCACAATGAATGAGCCACATTCTGTATCAAAATTTTTGGATGGAAAATATTATGAAAGCATATTTTATTTAATTCATTTATTTAAATGATCTATGGCTCTAGTAGCTAACCATTATATGACCTTTTTGGAACACCTTGTATTTTATTATGCATAAGTTCTATTGATGAATAAATGTTAAAAAAATTATGTGAATGTAGCCATAAAATAATTTGTTTTTAGCTAAGGAAGAATTCCCCTCATTATTACATTTTGCTGCTTGCCATGGTTTATATGAGTTAGTTAAAGAATTACTTGCATGCCCTGGTTCTCAAACAGCCTCAAATATGAAGAATGCAAGAGGTTTAACTCCAGCTCAGTTGGCTAATCATGCAGGTCATAATGATGTTGCTGCTGTTATTGATGAATTTTTGGTATGTACGTTTTTTAAAATTTTGTGCTTTTATTAGAATCTGCATAAGCAAAAACGCGTTTCATTATATGCATATACACATTGAAGAGTCAAAACATTATGACCACCTACTCAAAAACACGTTGCATGACTTTTGGCCTGCAAAACAGCTGCAACTCGTCTTGCCATGGAAGTCACAAGTTCTTGGTAGATGACTGGAGACAGGTTGTACCAAATGTCTAAGCATCGTTCAAGCAGAGTCAAAATATTCAGACATGGTGATGTTTGAAGTCTGAGCTTCCACTCCATGACATCCTAAATATACTTTATCAGGGTAAGATCCGGCGAGTTAAGTGGCCAGGACATTAACTGGAATTCATCCTTATGCTCCTCGAACAACTTCAACACAATTCGAACCTTGTAACATAGGACAATGTCCTACTAGAAGATTCCATTTCCAGTTGGGAAGCATGTAATGATGTACCTGATCTGCAAGTATGTTGAGATAGTCTGCAGCTTTCATGGTCTGTTCTACCACAACTAAGGTAAGAGCCACCTATAAGGAATGTTCCTTAAAGCATAATATAATACTGCCACCATCAGCCTGCGTATGGTCTGCTGTACCGTTGAGGAGCAACTTTTCGCCTGGAAGACAGCGTATCCTGACACGACCATTGATATGATATATGAGAAATCAGAATTCATCTAACCAAGCAACTGTCTTCTACTTATCTGTGGTCCAGTCTCAGTGTTTCTGGGCTCACTAAAGGCATAGTTGACAATGTTGCTTGGTCACAAGAGGCACATGAGTGGGACATCTGTTGCACAGTTCCATATCCAACAGTGTCTGCTGAATTGTGTGTTCTGAATGCACTTGGACCTGCTCTGTACTGTGCTGTCTGCTGAGCCACTCTCTGGCACCAGTTTTGCTATACCAAGTGGGACAGTTTCCGATTTCCTTTTTCTTTGATGATGTGAGGATGGCCTTGGCATCTACTGCAGTGCTTAAATTGAGCCAGAGTCCGGCTCCGGCTCTTCTGAATTTTTAAGATAAATTACAATTCTAGCTGGAGCGCACCGGAGCCCTAAATAAGATGAGCTCTGGTACTTCTTTTTATAAAACTGAACCACATTTCAAGAAAAAAAAAAATAATAGAATTCCTAACGTTTTAGTTTAACAATAAGCAGATCTTGCAATATACTTCCCTAGAAATGCGAGCTCATGAGAACATGAGACGTTCAAGTAAAGTCCCCTCACTCACATGCAGAAATTTTTCCCTTTAAGAAGTGCAATAAATTTGGAGTTTGTTTAGGAACAGGTACATTTCTCTCCATGCCATCGTATCTAGTGTATTGTTATTGTTGGTTACAGTTAGTAATTCTCGCAGGAAGGAAAATTTGTGTTCTTAAATGTGCATTAAGTGACAGCGAGTAAAGTTAGTAAGAATGGAATAATGAGATAAACTGCTCAAGCACATCCTATACATCATCTTCCCAGAATATCTGCTAATGTAACCAAATACCGGGAGGGGGTGAAAAGCGTAACCAGCAACTTTGCATTCATCCTTAGATTCAGAACTCATTTTACCCCTGACACACATCCGCTTGATGGCTATAATTATATCAGCAAAAAGCCGCGGAACATTCTCTCTCACCAAGATTCCCCTCATTTTTTGGTTTCCATCCACTCATACCCTCATGCCCTCATTTAGTTTCGCCCTCTTTTTAGCATTATCTGAATTTTCATCAGCTATATTTTAAGTATGTTTAATTTTTGTGATGATAAAAGATATTTTTTCCCCTATGATCAGAGCTTAAATTGCGCTGGAGCCCACTGAATGCCGGCTCTGATGCTTCTTAGTTTTTGTAATAAATCATAATTCTAGTCGGAGCACACCGGAGCCCTAAATAAGAAGGTTGCTTCACTTCTTTTATGTAATTGAAACAATTTCAGTAAAAATTTTATCTCAAATATTTTATTTTTAGCAATAAAATTACATTAAAATCGCTTATTAAATTTTAATTTCTCTCTTTACATTTAATTTTAATTATTTAACTATATAATAATTATTGATTAAATAACAAATTTGTAAACGTTAATTAAATAGCTATTAATTAATTTGATAATAAATAACTATTTAGTTTTAAAATTATTAATAAGTTTAATAGTCATTTTATTTATTTATTTATTTACTCTTGTTCCTCTTTGCTGACAGTCTTCAATAGGGCTCTAGCACTTCTAATTTTAGAAATTAAGCCCTGGCTGGCTTTACCATCATTTAATTCACTTTGCATGAATACTAACAATGACAGATTGTGCACAACCTACCAGTCATGCAGTTTTGGAGATATTCATTCTGATTCTTCCAGTCATTACAATCTGTCCTCCATTAAATTCACTTAGAACAGCAGCCTTCTCCATCATTCACAGAAGTAAATGGAAAAAGGATTCCTTACTTTCTCCAGCATGAGTTGAATACTATACTTACTAATCACGTGCCCTTCATGTCATCCAGACAAGTTCATTGAAAAATATGGGGATGGTCATAATGTTTTGTCTCACGAGTGTAGATTTGGTTATATGTATATGAAAAATGTATGAATTTTGAAATAATAACTACCGTATTTTGCCAGCATATAAGACACACCTCTCTTTTTATACACATTTTTGAAGGATAAAACTGTATTACTGATCATTATAATGAATTTACAGTATTTTAAATATAAAGTTATGCAAATCCAATGTTATACTTTCTTCAAATACCCAATCTATCTGGGAAAGAACACCATTTAATCTTCTTCATCAAAACCCAGACACTCATCTCCAGAGCTAAATGAAAAGTCACTTGAATCCTCTTCTAAATCAGCATCTGAGTCCTCATACAACAAATTGTCCTCTTTATCATTCAGTGTGATCGACGATGTCAGCACATGCGCATTCACTGAACTCTGTGTAATTGTAATATTCCCACACTCTGAAAGGAAACAATAAAAAAATCACATAACTCCGAATAAAGGAAATTTCCAGAAATGAAGGTAAACAAAAACTGAGTATCGACTTATAAGACGCACCCTGTTTTTCAGACTTATTTTCAAAGAAAAAAGGTGCGTCTTATACTCCGGCAAATATGGTATATAATTCAGTAGTATAAGCATTCTAGATTCATGCGTCTTTAACTCTATATTATCAAGGTCAGAATTATATATATCATTAACCAGTTGAAAGTATTTATAACAACAAAGATTCCAAAATGTCTCTCGCCCCATTCAAAGAGACGAAGGCTTGGCAATAAAAAAAAAAAAAGCCTTTTTTTAGAGAAAATAAAGCATTAGAAAATGAAGAGCAATGATGAAATTTAGAAAATATAAATCATTAAGTTTGGAAATAATTCTTAAGTAATTGCAGAATATAAATTTTGAGTATTATATTTGAAAAAATTAATGGAATTCTTAGGATTCTATTCAAATTTCAGGCCTCAATTCAGTTTGAAGAAGTTCTTGTTTTTGCAAAATCCAAATAATTAGTAGGATTACTTGGAGACAAACATTTTTTGCAGAATATCAAAAGCATAAAAATTTTATATAATCATTACTTATTTTGGTACATTACAATAAATAATAAAATATACAGCATTCTAATTTTCTTATTTGTGATCTGCCTTTTAACATCAAAACTATTGTAATTATTTGGCTAAAATTATGATTTCTCATTTATTCTTCACTTGAATTCTTTATTTTCTGTGAAATGAAGGCACTATAATTCTCTAAAAAGAGATTTCTTTATCTTAAAACTGGATATATCCTTAACCGGCTGGTGGTGTTATTCTACTAGTGGTTAAAAAATACTTGAGTAGTTGCTTGAAAAGGCCTCAGTTTTTTTATGTTATGTAACTGCTCTTTGACAACTGCATTCAGATTTCCTTAATAAAAACTAAAAGGTAAAAAATAATAATTCATAAAAATAAATTTATTCTAAAAAATGGTAACTCTCAACTTTTCTTGTATAAAGCTGCCTTCACATAAGTCTGTTAATGCAAAAAATAGAAATATGGGGAAAAGATGCTTTCGACAAGTGTCAATTCACACCAGGCCAGAAACTTCCACTTTAAAAGTTTTTATACACACGTTGACTGCTCTTCATATCGGAAAACTGAAATCGGGTATTTTTGGGTGGTGGTTTGGCTTCCTGCAATTATATTTGTCAATTAGAATAGGCTGAATTTTTGCTATATCAACAAAACAAATAGAAGGGGATGGGTTATATTAATATGTGAAAAACAAGCAATGAGAATATGCAAGAGCAGCAAGAAGGTTTGTATAGTTTCAATAACTCAGTTATTGACTAAATCTGTGCCAAACACAGGGTTGTTGCTTTGCTAATTTTATGTTTCACTTACTGAATTTCTCTTCTGTTTTGACTTTATATTGTATTTAAAGAGTTATCTTTAAGCATTTATAGTATATCATGTATGATTAAAGTGATTAGTATAAACCTAAATCTACAAGTATGGATTTTTGATAACTTATTAATATGCATTTGTTGAAATTACTACTAAACATGAAATAAATATTGAAAATCAGCTAATAGTGAATCCGCCTGTTCGTGTTATTTATCAATGGGTTTTATTTGCAGAAACCTGCGCACTGTGAAGAAAAATTGAATTTTGAAATACCTGTGAGCCATAATCAGAATGTAATTGGTGAGTTTGTGCACTATTTATGCATATTAGCTTCTCTGAATGAGTGAATACTCTAATACTGTGAGTTTGAGGAAAACTTTTCTAATGCTGCGTGTGGAAAAAACAATGTTTATACAGTAAAATTCTGGTAATCCATGAATACCTGTTATCTGCATATTTTGGATATAAACAAATGAAATGAAAATTCAGTATGGTGGCAAATTTAAACAAAGAAATGAAAATTCAATGTGGTGGTAAATTTTATTAGCAACTTTTATTATATATATGTGTGCATGTAAATACATCTTTTAATAATAGTACTCTACATTAACAACACATTTTGGCTGAAAAAGTAAATTTTATTGATGAAGTTATTAGCCTTTTTTGCATGTGGAGTAAGGCTTTTATTATTACTGTTATTATTATGCACAGATCGTATAGTGAATCTCTGCAAATATTTCATTTTAGATAAATCACTACATTTTGGTATATATTCTGTGATATCTTTCAAAATAAACTTTGTATATGTATGGCAAATATGTATTATGAATTTGCCCCTTCTTTTTCAGATCTTCAGTTAACTTTAAATGTATTATTGCTAAGCCTGTAATAGCTAGTATGTTAACAGTTTGCAAAAATTGAATCGAAATAATTGCTTAAAAATGGCATTTCGTGAAATTTCCCTGTCTTGTGAAACAGAAAAGCTTCTAAGAAAAAGAGAATGAAGAATTGAAGAATAAAGAATTTTTTTAATAATTCTAAAATTTCAATTTTAGCACTTAAATTGCTAATGGCACATATGTGATGAATAAGCAATGACAGAAATAGTGTACGGATTAGGGGAAACCTAAGATGGAGTTTTTGAATTAAAGTTTGTTTTCATTTAAGAGCATAAAATTTATTTCAAAAGTAATTCCTCTGTACATGATTTTATTTGTATGAAATGCTTTAATGCATTTTTATAAAAGAGTTCTTTCAGTCTTCTGAAAAATTACCTATAATTTATTCTGTGGTGATAGTGATAAAGAACACACTTTATGCCCACAATGCTGCAGATGTATGTCAAGCCTAAGGTGAAGTTTTTGTAGAAGTGTAGAGAAAGCAGATACTGTCTGTTAAATAAACTGATATCATATGAAAAAGGAAGTCAAAAAATAAGAAACGTATCTTTTCACATTTTTTATTGAAACTTAACAACACGTGCACAACATTCCAACGGCATCCATAGCTCGCACACAGAGAGAGAACTTGGTGTTGCCAATATGGTAAATATAAATGTACCAAACTAACACGCCTCCTTACATTTATATTTACTAATTACAAATAAACATAGATATAAGCAACCTTTTCAGCTTTACCATTTACAATTAAGCATAGATATAAACAATAACATTCAACACTTAACACAAATTATTTTTAAAAAAAACTTTCTTTCATTAACTTAAATATTAAATCAAAGTTAAATACAATTTAGTTTACATAAGGACATTATCCAAAATCTATTTCATCTTCAAGCAAAAATATTTTAAATAAACTTCATCATTTAAATAAACAGTATACAAAATTTATTTCAAATTTCAAACCTTCTCTGAATTTCATAAATTTAATCTTTCCTAAAGACTTAGCAAAGATATCTGTAATATTTGATTCTGAATCAATCTTTATAAAATTTCAATTACTCCATTTTGAGCATTTTCATGTAACATAATGATATTGAACTTCTATGTGTTTTGAATTTTTAGTGAAGTTCCCATACTTAGCAATAGCCAAAGCTCCTGAATTATCTTCATAAATTTTAATGGGGTGAGTTAAATCAGCAAAAACATCATTCACAACATTTTTTAAGAAAATTAATTTCTGTCACAGCCTCAGATAGAGCAATATATTCAGCAAAAGTGGAAGATTTTGTCACACAACTTTGCTTTTCGGATTTCCAATAAATTGGATTACCAAATAATTCAATAACAAACCCAGTAGTTGAACTTTCTGTCAACAACATCACCTGCCCAATCAGCATCAACATAACAGTTCATACTATCAGTTTTAAGATTTTTACTATAGGTTAATTTTAGATGTTTTGTTAAGTACAAATACTTTAAAACTCTCAAAGCATATTTGAAATGTTTCTCATCATAACAATTTTGAAATCTACTTAAATAATTTACGCTGAAAGATACGAGGGCCATCCAGGAAGTAGATTACGTTTCCGTCTGTGTCCGCTAGGGGCGGGGCTAGCGCGGCCATCTTGGGGTCAGAGCAGTGGCGTAGCGAGAGGGGGGCATGGGGGTGCATGATGCCCCGGGCGCCGCTCACAGTAGAGGGGCGCCAAATGGTCTCCAAACAAGAAGATTTTACCCGGAAAATTTCAGTTTTCATTTTGATCGATTTCTGGAAAATATATTTAAAAATTAATAACTTATTGTAATTATTTATATATTTAATTATTTATTTTTTCTTGATTTGTCTGATAAAAATGTGTAATAAAATGTTTGCTGTACATCAACCAAAACGTTCTTTCTGACCACTTTATTGTCTCCAAAATAGAGATATATTTAAATTTTTTTAAAGACGAAAATGCACGTATATGCTTCCGCTTTTTATTTTAAAACAATAACACAATTCTGTCCTGAATTTCTCAAACATATCCAGTTTCCAAAACCCGATTATTCCATAATCTGAAAATGACATTTTGGGAAATCCTAACGCTTCCGCTTACAATGGATTGCGTTTGACTCTCCTGTAAACGACTGATGTCCTTCCTGGCTACCGATTCAACTAAGTCATCTTGCTGAGACATCGTATAATTCACTGCTACGAAGCATTCAACGCATGTCAATTGTTTTAAATCTCCTATTACAAAAGGAATACTGCAGGTCGCTCCTCACTCCTTATCTAAAACGCATAGTTTTTGATCGTCACAGACTAAATTTGCATATTCCCAACTTTGTAAAGTTATAATTTTTCTTTATAATCTCTTCTATTTCCTTTTGTTCTTTAAAAGGTTGCCTTGATTATATGGTTATTTCATACCGAACCCACAATATCCCCTAATTGTTTTGAGCAGTGAATGTGACTGTATGACGTTACTTACCCCCGCAGTAGAAAAGAAACGGAACCTAAAACTCCATTACAGATCTATAGGAGAAAATGTTTTTCCAAACCTAAGAGTCGCACTTCAAATACTACTTACTATTTCATTATCAAATGCTAATTATGAACGTTCGTTCAGCATATTAAATAAATTTTCACATATTTACGAATCAACGATGTGACAAGATCCCTTAAGTCATCTAGCATTTTTAAGTGTGGAAAGAGAAAAATTTGAAAGGGTCGACTTTGATGAAGTAAATAATAAATTTGCTTCATACAAGGTAAGAAAATGTATACATAGTAGTTAATTGTATTCATGTATTATATTATTATTAATAAATATAAGTGCTCGACCAAGTCGAGGTGCACATGATTGAAGGGAGATGAGGGCAAATTAAAATTTTTAAGTTGGCTGGTTGTGTGTCTAACAATTTTAGATCTTTGGCACTCCAAGCACGAACGTGTCTAGTTGGCTATGTCCTTTTGCATGCTAGGCCATACGAAACGTTGGTGTATCATTTTTTTTGAAGCCTTGATGCCAGGATGTGACAGACGATGTAACTGACTAAAAATGGCATGGTGAAATCCGGAGGGAACAAAGGTCGAAATCTTGAATCCTGAACATCACAATTAAGTGATTTTCCAGGTGACACTTGCATCGGCTGCAAGTTGAGATTGGTGGAAGATTTGCTTTTCAAGAGGTTTTGTAGTTCTGAATCCTGGTGTTATTCATCGCAAGGGCAGCAAACTTTATTGGCGAAGGAACGGCTAGTTCTTCAATACGAGACAAGGTGTCTGCAACAATATTCTGCGAACCCTCAATATAACGGATAGCTGTTGAAAATTGCCCTATGAAGTCTAGGTGTCTCATTTGACGAGGAGAAGTTTTATCCTGTTGAAAAGCATAAAGCATAAGCCTTTTTAAAGGGCGACTGATGTTTTCAGGGAACCCCATCGCCAAATCCTGGGTGTGGAGAATCCTCATCCTTTTAGTTCGAGCGCCATTGTAGAGTTGGAAAATTTAGCAACCGCCTTCGCCGGAAATCGAACCGCGGACCTCTGGAGTATCGGCCCAGCGTGCAGAATCACCAGACCACACACACCACGAAGGCACACTAGGAAAGCGGGAGAAATACCTTATAAACGTAGAGTGATAATGGTTTAGATGCGGAAGGATACTGCAAATTTGTTGCCAAAATTAAATCATTTTTTGCATTTTTGGAACGCTTCGCAAGATTCTGTGGTCCAGGTTATAACACGTTTATCGTTTTTCCTTGCTTCCAACCAAAAAAGAATTTAGAGGTGCTTGTATGGTTGCTGCATGAGGTAAGAAACATCGATAAAAATTGAGCATAGCAAGAAATCTTAAGTTCCTTCACTGTAGATGGTTCGGGCATATCGCGGATAGCGGTGACTCTGGAAGGGGTCGAACGCCATCAGCGGAAATTTCATGACCAAGAAAAGGATACTCTTGGTTGGCCAAAAACGCATTTGGAAGGATTAAGACTGAACACCGTACCTTTGAAAACGTTCAAAAACTGTTCTCAAATGTGATAGGTGTTCTTGCTCTGAAGAGGAGGCGATTAAGACGTCATCAAAATAAAGTACACAAAGTCGAGGCCGATTAACACCTGATTCATGAAGCGTTGGAAACGTTTGAGCAGCACTGCATAAGTCGAAAATCATGACCGGAAACTCAATAGTCCAAAAGGCGTAATAACCGCAATTTCAGCTGGGTTAACAGCTGGGACTATCAGCTGGGTTAACGGGCACTTGGTGATACGCCCGCTCAAGATCAAGGGTTGTAAAATAGCTTTTCCCTCTAAAACTTGCATACAGTCTTGAATGTGCGGGATTGGGTAACGATGAGAAATTGTAGCTTGCATTTAACCGGCGATAATCGCCACTTACCATTTCGTTTCCTTTCCGAACTAGATGGAGCGGACTGGCCCATGAACTTTTTGAAAGACGGCAAATTCCCTGTTCCATCATGTATTAAAATTCCTCTTTGGCGGCTTTAAGCTTGTCCGGAAGGTAAGCGTCTTGCTTTAGCGGCAATTGGAGGTCCGTTAGTTTCAATATAATGTAGTACAACATCGTTCTTGGGTTCGGAAATACCCATAACTGGGCGTGATTGTAGGGAATTCTCTGAGAAGTTGAATGCCATGGGGAGTTACCCGAAATCAGTTTAATGCTCAAATCTTCACTATTGCGAATTACTCCCATGATAAGTTAAGTTGGTTGTGGAATCTATCAAACGGCGATTCTTAAGATCAACAAGCAAAGAAAATTTATGTAAAAAGTCTGTGCCAATAATAGGACAGTAGCAATAATGAATTGGCATTGGAAGTTGCGGCGCAATCCTAAATCAACAGATATCAGGCGTTCACCAGAAGTTTGAATAGGAGTTCCATTTGCTACATAAAGTTGTAACTTGGCAAGGCGCTTTTGTTCGTGAAAATGTGGTGGAACACCAGAAACATCAGCCCCGGTGTCTACAAGAAACCTTAAGCCTGAATTCTTTCCGATGACGAAAAGGCGTGCAAAATTCCGGCCGCTGTCATTCACGACTTCGAGCAACGGCCCTTCTCGTTTCCCTGGTCACGGTGGGTGGCATTTGTTGGCACGGTGGGTCACACGGTGGGTGGCATTTGTTTGCCTTGTTTCCAAATTTGTGGTGGTAAAAACAAATACCCGGAGGAGGGCTTTCATAACGTTTCCTCAGTGGGTTACGACGTGTATTTCGACCACGTGATGTGGAGCGGTTGCGCTGAAAAGGTTCAGCTTGGATGGCTACTAACTGAGCAACCTGTTTGGACAAATCATCAATTTGAGCCTGTAACGCCACAATACCTGGACCAGGAGCCTGCACTGCGTGTATTTGCGCAGGAATGGCCAGTTCGTGAATTTTATCAGTGATTTCGAGAAGATTTTTAAGTGGCTCGCTACTGGCCGCTAAAATGGTTTGCATGTTAGATGGGAGTCTATTCATCCATAATGTTTTAAGAATGTTATCCGTTAGGTTACCGGCGGCTAAGTCTGACATTTTAGACAGCAACTAAGAAGGC